CGTCAATAATGTTCAGTCTGGGGGACGTAGCATGGTAAAAGTGAAGTCAGTAAAACTGTTTTGTTTCGTTAGAGACTGACAAGATAATTAACACGTAATACATACAGAAAAAATATTTTCCTGCACTTTTCCCGAAGAACATAATTCAGAACTACTTTTAAAATCTTTACATCACACTAGTAGAATGCTGAGTTATAAAGTAGCTATTGTTATTATTGTATAACTTCCAGTATATTTTAATACTTAAAATAGTATTTTTTTTTTCCCATCAGAACAGTTTACCTCTTGGAGACAAACTTAACTGGATCTTTGGGAAAAATTCGGACTTCGGAGGTGACCGTGAAATGGACGGCTTGCGCAGTGCAGCTATTCAAACATCACTAGATCAATCAGCCAGTGAACCGTTGCCTGTTAAAAATCATTTAACAAGTGAAACAGTATACGAAGACTTAAAAATAAGTCGTGATTTGAACACGCAGGTACCTGAAAGAGGGAATACTTCTGATTCTGAAAGACTTGCTACCCAGCAAAATACAGTTGATCTCAGAAATGATTTTCAAGTCATGGGATCTTTGCATATGCAGGAACCAGTGAGCGAAACCCCAAATGTAGCTAATCCACAGGTGCTTCTTCCATTTCTTCAAAACTTATGTAGTCAGGTAAATCATCTTCGGCTAAAAGATGGTGATAGGCATTTTGGTAAAAAAGCAGTGACTAAAGAGGAAGGCATTCAGTGTGTTGGGTAAGTGAAGTTTGGTACACTTATTAAATTAGTAGTTTGACTGTATTTATTGACAAGTTTAAAAAATTAACAAAATACATAATGTAAGCATTTTATCCTCATTAACGGCATTAGTGAATCTTAAAATATGTGATTTTGAAGGTTGTGTGGCATTGAACGTGATTACAATTAATTTTTCAGATGAGCTGCTTGAATATAGGAGTTTTTTCGGAAGAAACCACATCATCATTTGTTGTTACTAAACTGTTTGTGTCTTTTGCCTCCATTTCACCTTTTATGATTTCAAGAAGTATGGTCTTTCTGCAATTTTGTATAGGTTTAGTTTGTCTTTCTTGTCTGTTATTACCTTTTCATTTTGACTACTTCTTTCCTTTTTTCACACTATGTGCCACGATCTTTCTGCTGCACTTAGTGTATCTCATCCCCCTGATCTTTCCTATCCTTCCTCATTTGTTGGCATCTACAGTGCAAACTTGACAGTAGTAGTAGCGCACCTAGTTTGATACCTAGGGAACAACAGTGGAAATGGTGAGGTGTAGGAATGTAGCATAGGAAATGGGTTCCAATAGAGCCTGAATATCTCCAGCTCCTGGGAAAGTGCAGTATTTTTAAAGAATGCAGATGCAAAAATAAAGAATTGCATCGTTTGTATAACTCTTGAAACACATTAGCTGAGAAGAGTAAAGCCTGCCACACAGACAGAATTTGAACTCTGTGTACTGTTGAGTTGTGTGGATTTTGTTGTACGTAACTAAGCTCTCTAATGCATAACTGAGCCTTTGAAACAACAAGGTTGAAAGAAGTTGACTGTATACCCTAGCATGTTTATAAAAAAAAAAAATCTCATATTTAAAATGTGGCAGGCAGGCAAGGTATTTTACTTGTGCTTAAAAACCTAACACTGTCCAAAGTTTATTGTCTAATAAATGAGATTTTACATTTAAAAGAAGTTCAGGCGCCCAGATCTCTATTGTGCCTCTTGTCATTAAGAAATAGGTTATACTTATTTTTATGTTTGCTCTTTTCACAGAGTAGAACAACAGCCTATTTGCTCCTATTTGGAAAAGATGATCTCAAAAAATATGGATCTGATGGAGAAAAAACTAATGGACTATATTGATCGCCAAATCCAGGCTCTTCAGACACATATAGATAATAAAATGGTTCTCTTAATGGACTTGGTTCAGAACTCAAAGCCAAACAGAATTTCACAAGCGCACTATGATTCTAATGAGGGGTTCTCTAATGGAGAGAGATAGATGTATATAGATCTAGGACTTCAGCAGAAGTACTTTAGGGGGAGTTATACTTTACAAAGCTTAGTATTTATGGAGCTATAACTGTAAAGAACCTCAGTGTTGTTGACTTGCATTTTGTTACTGTAATTCAATCCACTATTGTACACAGTTGTTAGTTTTATGAAAGATCTTAAGAGTGGGTGTTTTTTGCTAAGTATAAGAATTTTGTATGCCCTTTGTGGCTTATTTATTCAAAGAGCATTGCTAAAAACCATATGAAAGAGTTTCACAGTTTCAGTTTGAACAATGGAGAAGTACACTAAATAAACTGAGTTACAGCTTATCTTTTTACCTACATGTAATCAATTCACTTTTTTATTGTCTTGATTTTTGATGTGCAACGTGTTACCAGTAGAACAGAATGTGGTTTCTTTATGCTTTTGGTTTATTTTAATGGCACTCCTGTTGAAGATGTTTATTACTCCACCTATAAGAGGAAGGGTAGTACTGGCATGGCCTAACTTAGAGTGTTTAAGGAGTGAGGTTTAGAGAGACAGGCGAACTTGAACCCCAGCCTGGGTTCTCTGATAACCTTGCTGGCTGCACAGGCACCTAAGTTAGGAATCTGGGCTCCTTAAGTGATAATCAAAAACCAAGACTGTCGTCATACTTTTCCCCTCCTAAATTAATTGAGCCATGTGGGAACAACTGAAATGAATGTATACTTAGCAGACTTGTATTTATCCATGTTTCGTTATCCTAAGGAATGTAAGTACTTCGTTCGTGGTTCCTCTCCAGGGGACCTCGTTGCCAGATAGAACGTGCTGGGGTAGGATCTGCTGCGTTTCACCAACCTTAGGCCAGAGAAGTCAACTTATTGCATCGTATTAACGTTAACATGTTGGGATTGGTTCTGCTGTTGTTTGGGGAGGTAGAAATGTGATTTGAAGTCCCTCTTTTGTGGAAGGTAAAGCTTCAAACTTCATTGTTTGTTGCTCTTTGAATTCCAGGGTGCACCGTTTAATTTGGACTGTATAGAGACTTAATGGTAAACCCCTAAGTTGGGTGCGCAGAGATTGGTTGCATTCGGTGTCTTAAAATGCACTGAGCAAAAGCTTTTGATGGGGAAGCAGGTGTTGACCGAACAAGCAGTTTATGCATGTACAATCCAGTATCTTTATCTAGTCTACCTAATGTTTTCTTCTTCTCCAGGAAAACTGGTGTCTTTTGAAGACTGTCAGATCTTGATGGTAGCAACCCACAGGAGTAGATTTTGAAGAGAGGATAATTTGCTTTGAACAGACATCTCGCAGTTGTCCCTCAGCTTAACTCATGCCAGGTGCAGTTTCAAAGTGATTTGAAAAGATAAAAAGAGAATTTTTCTTTTTTTTTTTTTTTCTTTTGAAGAAAAAGGGACCTAAATTATCTTGTACTTTACAAGTCACTTAACACCTGTAAAGTTAGTTTTTTAGGTACTTTCTAAGAAACACCCTAAGGTAGACACTTTTATTCTTTTTCAACTCAGTGATTTAGGATACAGTGCTAGGTTGAGAGTTTTCTTGAATTACAGAGAAATTTGAAATATGTTTCCAAGCACTGTTGTATTCCGAGGCTGTTAGTTTATTGATTTTTGGTTGGTTTGGGTTTTTTCTCTCTCCCCTCTCTGGGTGACAAATCTGAACAGAAGTTGACACAAATTCAAAATATCCTGAAGTAGTTAATATGAGCTCTGGATTTTTTGGTAGTCATATCCTGCTTGGCGTTTGATGTGATATTTTAGTATCACAGCTACCACAATGACAATATTTGAAATCAAAACTATAAAGGAAATTCAGCATCTGCTTTAGTGAGGGACTCTGTGTAGAGAAAAAAGAAAGTGGGATGTTTAAAGTTTTGAATACCATGTCATTTCAGTTAAAATTAAGCATTTTTTTTGGATAGTTTGGTTCTGAGGAGTTGACCCACACCAACTGCAAATTCTGAATGTGTAGTACTGAAGAGTTGTAAAAATTTGTAATAAAACAATTGTGCAGAAGAGCATCGCAGTGTTAATGCGTTCTTTGGTGTCGCTGCAGCCAAGTTTCTGTCAAGCAGTGCTGTCGCTATCTTTAGAACTGGATAGGTGTGAGACATATTGCTGAAGCAAAGCTGGGCAAAAAAGAAACTCGTGGTTCTAACCCTGTCCTTTCTAATGGTTTACTAGCCGGTCCTTGGTAAAACTCATTATTTTTCTGTAAATTGTGAAAGGTACTATGAGAATTAATCTATGTTTTATAATACTCGGAGTGTGATCTATTTGCACTTGAATCCTTTTCACATTATAGATGTGTCCAGTTTCTAGCATATGGCTACAAAATCTGTCACTATTGAAATAAACAGAAACATGTTTAAAATGCTACTAGAGTGCAAAGAGGTTAATAATTATTTAAAAAAGGAAGAAAACTTATTACTATTAAGAGCGTGATTAGTGCTAAATACTTCTTAGATCTGACACCTGAAACTACGTGGCACAATGTGCTTTTCTCAGGTGAAGCTTTGTGCTCAATAAAAGTTAGACCAAGGGGTGTAGTGGGAGTTACAAGCCCTTTAAAATAGCTTTTCCGTATTTTGCAGTCAGTTCTACACTAGCGCTCGGTACTCATCTAGGCCACTGTTGAGCAGACTGCAAATTATGCTAAAGAGTATGTCAGATTGGGGCACTTTAAGCTTAGTTGTCTCATAAACAGCTTTGCAGCTCTAAGTTAAAAGTGTGGTGGTTTTGATTCCTACTCGGGTGGCTATCCTTTTCCTGGGTTTGTTCTAGTAGGCAATACAAACAGATTTAACCTAGGGTGGAATAAGTCATCTGTGTTTATCATCTGGCAGAGCTTTTCTGTAGCACCAACAAATAAAACGGAGTGAAATTGAGTAGACTGTTAGAAGATACACAGGCTATAACAAAGCTTGATGATGAGTTGGAATGTGCTTTTTAAGTAGTCTGTGGCTTTGAGAAATGAGCCCTGGTCCCTATGAATGCTTCATCAAAAAATGTCACATTTGAAAATCTGAAGTCTCTTGCCATTCATGACTTTTTCATAGTCAGATCCTGCACTACTTTTGTAACTAGGAGCGAGCGCTGCTTTTTCTGCTTCAAAGGACACACCTTAATCCAAAAGGCCATCAGTCTGTCGGTTTGAAAAGTCCGTCTGTGATCTCGCAAAACACAAACTTCTGTTGAACCTGTTGCTCTCGGCCATGTTGGTTCTGAACTAGTGTAACTCGCTTATTTCATTAGTGGAATGAAGGTAATGGATTTACACCAAGGAAGAGCTTAATCAGGTTCTTTCTGTATTCCTCTTACCTGAGTGATCAGCAGACCTGAGGTCTCTTTTCAGGCGGATGGGACCTACTACGGTAGTAGTTCTCCATGTGTATGAAGAAATATCTCTTTTCTGCCTGGAGACACAGCCTTCAGTACAGCGAGAGTTTGTGTTGTTGCTGTCACAAATTAAAACATCACACTGGAGATAAACTGATGGAAAGCTCTGCAGGAACCTGAAGGCATTAAATTTGAATCTTCCGTAGTGTTCAAGTGGTGGGTAGGTTACCACGGTGTCATCTTTATTGCAGCTGGAACAGAATTTACAGATCTGTTAAAGCAGTCCACATAAAATAAGCATTCTCTGTCACTACTGTGGACTAGCCACAGCATTTAACTAGGGCATTATTTTTACATGTGGGCCTACAATCGATGTGCTTTTTTCCTCTCCCCAGTGCAATATAGTGCTTGTTTTTCCTAGCTCTGTTTATGTAATGCCTTTAAATTTCTATGAAATTTAGCTTCTAACCAGAGTTTACTAAAGAAGATAAGTAGAAGAGGGACAAAAGTAAAAGAACTGTGGTTGTTACTGAGATTATATTTCCTTACATAATAGGAGATGGTCATAAAATAATTTAGGGTCTTACCCACTTCTGATTAAGTCATATGTTGGCGATCCAAAATCAGGTTGTGGAGATGCTATACAGTTATCAACAAACACCAGAAGATTTGGGTCGGTGGAATGAAGGCTGACTTGAGCAAAAAGAGTTTGGTTCAAGTCTACGTAATACGGGGACTGAAGGACAGGCTTGGAGAAGGAATCCGAGTCGTAGAATGACATGCTAATGTTATATTTTCCCACAGCGGTTATGTTCTGGATTATGTTATTTTGCGTTACGTAAATGACTTCTAAGGTTGAATTGTTTTCCATTTTGCATTTCGCAATAATCTGTATGCTCTTCTGACGAGTGATAATGTTGCCAGTTGCAGGGAGAGAGATGATGTTGGTGTAAGTGATGCTGTGACCATCATCCTGTAAAAGGAACCGTGATGTGCTCAGTTGTGATGGTGTGAGCAGTGCAGGTGAAAGCAATTGTACGAAAGTTACAAAGCTGCACAGCTATGCTTATCAGATGCTCAGGATACCTTTGAAATGTGAAACAGGTTGTAACCAAAAAAAACCATTATTGGCCCTCCTCCTGTTTTCTGTCAAAACACTGAACCAACCCATGCAGCAAAAAGCTTAAGGAATGCTGCATGGAGTGTGGAAAGTACCAAAGCTACGCTTCAGTCGCCCTTATCAAAACAATGCCGTGAGCTAGCTCTTGGGCATCTTCACATCTTAGGGGTTTTTCCCCTTTCCTTGTGACTCCAGGATAAGTGCCCGCTTTATCACTGGCAGAGAATGTTTAAATTCCATACCTAACATTGTGCTGCTTCCGATGACCTGGGTTGGAGAGGGAAGGAAACATTTGGGGTTAATTTGTGTGGATTCTCCTGGACTTCATGTGAAAGGCTCATTGATCATCAGGCTCTTAAAGAGGAAAAATGTTCTTTCTGCTTCAAGACTGGAAACATGCAATTGTTGATGAGCTAAGTGAAAGTAAATCTGCGGTTAGCTTATTCATGTGCTATTGAGAACTGCTTTTACAAGCTCTTGTCATTTGTAAGCTATGGTTAGCTTCACATAACTTTTTTCCCCTCCTTTACCTTTTTAGTTGTTCCACAGCTGGCTAATGGGAAGGAAAAGATCACTGCATCTGTGACAAGTGGTCTGCAAGATGGGTCATTCAGCTGTAGGTGACTTTCATCATACCCAAGGGAGGCCAGATAAGACTTGCTCAGAACAATTTTCATGCTGTCTGAAGAGCATGTAAGGAATGCTGCCATTGAAAGAGACATTTAAAAAAAAACACAGAACAAAAAACATTACCACAAACTGCTGCAGTTGTTTCTCAGTTGGTCTAGATCCTTGAACCTGGTGCATGGTTCTTGATTTGCTGGTCTGAAACGGCTCATGCGCATTTGAGGTCATGCAGAAGTCAGAACAAAATTTCGTGCTCGACTTCAAAAATGTTAGGTAAGCAAAACCATGTAAAACTCATGCTGAAAGTTTAATTTTAAACCCAGTAACGCAGAATGAATTGCAGCCTTTATAAAAGAGAGAAGGAATCAACGTGCTAGTGCAGAATGGTGGGTGAGGGAATTGATTTGTGGCAGACATCGAGGCTTTAGAGGCTTCTTTTCCACCCCAGTTAATGAGAAGATGGGCATGCAAACATATGGACCCAGTAAGGAAAATGGTCCAGCTCTGGGGGAAAGGAAATCACAACGCACTTAAACCCTGTTTGACTAACCAGTTCAGAGCATTTTCCTGAGTATCTCAGGGAACAAAAACATTTAAACTAACCAGTAAAAAAAAGTTTATCATTACCTCTCTAGGATGGTAACAATGCCTGCTTTGTCCCAGAGAAGGAAAACCTCAGATTTTCAGCGGTGCTGGCCAGAAAAACGACCAAAAAGTGAAAGAAGGCGCTCTCTGTCGCAGACGGGTCAGGTAATAACTTATGCTCTATAGGTGAGACTAACGTGGGATTTTTGTATGTGAAGAGTTAATGACTATCAATAAAAAGGCTTAAATCCTCAGCATCAATCATCAGTTCTTTTTGATATGTATAAGGGAAGGGAAGAATCATATATGAGAATAAGAAACAGCATCCTATTGATGTAGCAAGTGTACTTACTGGGCTCCTCAGGACCTGGCAGCTGAACACTGGTATACTGAGCAGAAAATCCTCTGTAGGAGTTGGCGTAGTCTGTAGACAGCACAACTGTCATAATATTTGAAGACGACTCAAATGTGGGCTGAGCACGACCACATGCTTTTCCTATTAATCCAGTGTTAGTGGTGAGGCCATCATAGACTGCTGTGAAGTCAAATTGGCAGTTTCTATCTAGTTCCAGGCTGTAGACGGAGAAAAAATACAGGGAAATCTGAGTATAGAGAGCATTGCTCATACTGGATAGAGGATCCAGTGCATATAAAGCGTCTGATGAATTCCAGTCAACTGAAATAAAAGAATGGATAATAAAAGAATGCATAAATAGACGTTATTAAAACCAAATAAAACATGGAAAACCCTCAAAGGCAAGAGATGCTTAATAAGAGTGTGATTCTGCTCCCACTGAAATAGAAAATGTTTTGCTATAGCTCTCAACAGAAGCTGGATCAGCTATGTTTTTATAGCTCTGATACTCTATGTATTGATTGCTGCTTATTTACTAAAAATAACCACATCTTCAAATACATTTTTTATATATATATAAAAATAATCCTGTATCTTAAAATAAAGAGCTTTTGAAGTGTAGGGTTGACTTATGCGGGTCTCTGAAAGCTCTTGTGTATGTCACCAGAGCAAAGCTCTTGCCCTTTTTATCAATCTGCATGAGAGCTTATCTGGGCGCTTGCAGCCCTTGATGAAAAGCACCAGCTGTGCTGTGCTGTGGTGGGTGGATACCTCCAGAACAACATCTCTGTCCCTGAACCAGCAGATGGACCCTGGCCAGGGCTGGTGAGAACATACACCACGCTGTGCAGCGTTCACTGTCGCAGCGGTCAAGGTAACAGATTTCCTACAGAATCCTGTATGTTCCATACTGAATTCTTCTACAGCATTCTTCAGTCTGAATATCTCAAGAATATGTTCTTGAAGATATTGCCCTTTGAATTCCCTTGCTCTTGAGGCTCTCTCCCATGCGCAGTGTCAACTGATGCAGGGAAAGCCAAAAAAGGGCTACCAGCCCACTACGTATGGGAGACCAACCCTGATAAAGAGCAGTATGGGTCAGGAAAGCGCATGCCAGTGTGGTTTCCTTATGCCAATGCATCCGTTAGCATTTAGACTTGGAAGTACTTAAGTGCCTGCTATGCTGTCTTCTTTGCCCAATGACCGGCCATACCGAGGAAGACATACTTTGTGTGATATTTGCTTTATTCTTCTTTTGACCTTCGGTTCTGAATTGCAATTACAGTGCATATGATGGCTTTAAACACGTTCCTTATGTAGCAAAAGCTTCTTTTATACTGATGGATTTAAATTCAGATCATTCAGGCTAGCTTAAAGTGGACCTACAACTCATGGCTCATCACCTGAAACGCTTTCTGCGTTTCACTGACGGGCACTGCAGTAGCTATAGGATAACATATAGTGATGTGGAACATGTTGCAATTACTCTATCCTAAGAGTCAGCAAAGCACGTTTGTTTTAAAAGCATATAGATGTTCTAAAAGTTTGAAAGCACTTCTGCGTCCTGTGTTTAAAGTAATGCCTTTAAACAGAATGCAAAAAAAGTAAATAGAACATTAGGGCATTTACTCACAACAAATCCTGGAACTGTAAGTTTATCTTTGAGCCTTTTGCTGTTTCTATGTGCCAGACGCAGTACATAAATGCAGGGTAAGGCGCTGGGTAGTTGGGGCTGGTGAATGTCCCATTGGGACCAGTTAATTGTCCCCCACAATTTTCAGTTTCTGAAAAGAAGAGTAGATATATTGGTAACATAATAGTATATATAATGAGCCATAAAAAATAAAGATCTAAAGTTATGTAACTAGCAGAGTTGTTTCTTTGGGAGTCCCTTCTTTTGGAAATTATTGGAGGTACTAAAGACAGAACTTCTATAGAGAATTTCAGGTCAGGTGGATGTTATAAAATGAAGCCCGTTGTCACTATGGTATACCTGCGAGGCGCGGTGTAATGGCATCTGAGATGGCTGTAGATGAGTTAGCTTTGATACTGTGAGCAATTAGCTATATCTACATTTTGGGTAAATTAGGTGCCATCTTGAAAAACTGGCAATGAAGATGCCATACCAGCCAAAAGAAGCCCCGAGACACTTTATATTAGAGAAATCTATGAGGCCTTGGTCATGATCTATATGGAAGTGCAAAATCTTCAAGTTTGAGAGATATTTAACTTGATAGACAAAGGCAAAATAAAATCATCAGTAGAAACCTCAGAAAGACGAATATAGACTAGAAATAGGGCGCAATTTTTCAGCAGCAAAGTTAAACACTGGAGCAGCATAAACTAGGATGTGGTAACTACTCTGTAAAACTGAAGCTTTTAAGAGCGTAATACCCTGCCACTCAGATCAGCAGAAGGAAAGGAACTGATCGCAAGCTAAGGCTGATTTTGTCCAAGCTGTTCTTACCTTTTAAGGAAAAAAAAAAAATAAGGAGCTTGTTGAATAAAAACCCTTACTGACTTCTGTGACCTGTGCTCGGCAGGACTAGATGGTCGTATTCTCTTTCTGGGTAAATGCTATAATATTCGCAAACTGAGCAAATTTATTAGAAGCCTGTAAGTAAAAGTAGAGTCCCATTATACCGCCTTTGCAATCATCTTTCTGAGCAAAATTGCACTTTTTAGGCTCTCCAGCAAGCGCATTATTGTTTCGCTGCCTCCTTCCTGCCACTGATTTTCCCCCACACCATCCTCTAAGGGCTGAAGAGCTGAGTGAGACTAATTAAAGATTCCGTTAATAGTCTCTAATTGCTGTCCTAAACTTTCCCTTAATGGGAAAGTTTTCCTTAATGGGAAAGTTTCTTTTAATGGTGCAATTGAAATGGTAGTATTTAATGGCTGCATTAAGTGCCAACTTACTTGTTTCTGGTGAAAAGAAGTAGTAGAAGACAAAGAAGTTTCTTGTGAAAGCCACGGAGTTTGTTGTTATGAGAAAAGTTAAACTGTCTGAAGACGATTCAAGTACTGGAACTGCATCGGTGTTGTTACATACTTGTCCAAGAAGACGCGAATTAATTGAGGGACCATCATATATTTTAATGCTTTCTGTTTCACAGCTTGAAGAAGGAGCAAATCTATTGAAAAAACACAGTGAGAACTACCTAAGCTCGCTGACAGATATACAGGCTCTTTGGAGTCCACAACACAGATTCAATACAGAGAAATATTTGGAGGCAATATTTTTCTGTGCTGTATTCTCATAGAATGAAACCAAAAGCATCTGTAGCAAGTACTTACTTAAAATAGGAGAAGATGACCCTGATTGTTTGATTTACATTCCTCTGGATTTGCCAGACGCAGTTTGCATTTGCGTTTAGTTCAATCCGTAATGCTTTGTTGAGGTCATGAAGCGAAGAACCACAGCGAGGTACGCCTCCTGAAGAACGGCAACAACAAAAACCAGCTTGCCAGGATCTCTCTCAAGTTTTCCCTTGCGATAATGTTTCATTCTCCACTATACAAAAACTCTGGGACGGTCCATCATGGAACAGACATGCAAAATAATGTACTTTTTTTTTTTTTTTCATTTATATTACTGCAGTTTATGAAAGAACCAAATAGTAAAAGAATATTAGAAAATACTTTTTATCCTCATTTTTCTAGTAGCAGAGAAAAGGGGAGTTAGGGCAACACACATCACAGATGAAGTCAATGGAAATGCCAAGTGACACAGGACACCTCAGCAACTCTCTTCTGCAAGGTTGGCCACCACAAGCCCCTCCGGTCTCCTGTCTTCCCCCTACCCTGAGTTCCTGAAGATCATTGAATCCAGTTCTGAGGTTCAGCCCTTGACTTAAAAGCATTTGGGAACCTGTGCTCAGGGAATCAGAAAGGCTTTTCAGATTTGCGCTTCTAAATGACTGTCTGTGGGATTCCTGGGTATTTACTGCTGCACGCAACTCTGATCCTCCATCTCTACAAGGGTGCTGCTAAACAGGAAAAGCTTCAGAGAATGGCAATGAAGATAAAACATTTAGAATAGCTTCCAAGCAAGTAATAAGCTTCAAGACTGAAGCATTTCAGGTCAGAAAAGAGATACCTAGCAGGGAAAGGAGGTGCTAGAGGTCTGTAAATTCATGAAGAGGGTTAATAAGAGAGATTCTCTTCCAATACAGTAATGCAGTGGAATGAAACCAGTAAGTGGTGGTTTTGAAGCAAAAGGAACTGGCTCTTTGCATGTGGATCTTTGTTGCAAGGTGATGTGGATGGTAAAAGTAAAACATAAAATATGTCAAATCCATGAAAGAAAAAGCCTTTAGTAACTACTAAACACAAAGACAGCGCCTCCTCTCTGTTTCAGAAGTCCTGAACCATGTTGGTTGGTGACTGGGAGAGTATTCTGGGGAAGTATTATGCACACTTGTATCGTATTCTTGCCTGAGCATCCTCTCTTGACTGTTACTGGGTTCAGGATGCGGGGCTAGCTGGACTTCGACTCAGTTCTCTTTTGAAAAAACAGAAATCGAACGATTGACATCACTAACATCACTTAATAAGTTATGAAGTAGTTGCAGTAATGGCCGTTGTATAGGAAACTTTAGAAAAAGTTTATAATTCAGTTTGAGCGTAAGATCTCCTTACTACTTTAATATTAATCTAAAATTAATGGTCTAAAACAGCAGAAGGAATTTCCTATACCGTGTATGCAGTCCCAGATGAAAAGGTCAGGCTTTCTGATGAACTCCAGAGGAAAAAGAAAGGTTTAGGAGAGACCTTTCTTGTCACGTAGGAAACCTGCCAACTGTAAGGGCGTTACAAGGTCGGCTTTGCCCTCCCCTCCTTCTGCATCGCTCTGGACCGTTCTGTAGCCGGGCACCACTAGAGCAGCTCTGCAGCAATAATTCGTTATCCTACAGTAGCTCCCCACCATTCATCAGGTAAATCGCTGACTGGAGCACAGAATGGTGATCCCAAATTGCGCAACGAATGACTATCTATTGCTTCTGGTTGAACAAAGGAAAAATGAGCAAATCTCTTTTAAAAAGCAACCGTTTCCCAATTAAGTCACTTTATTCCTGTTACTCCAATACAGTATTAATTTATAAATGCAAACGTCCATTCCAGAGTAAAATATGTTCAAAATCTAGTTCTTAAGTTAAAAATTTGCCATAGGGAGTCATATATCGCAATTTTTTTTTGTTATTTACCATTGTTAACACTTGGTGGCACATTCGGGTGTTACTATTGTGCAGCAGTACATTAACATAAGATGCACTTTTAGAGATACGTTTAACATTTTACCCTTCAATTGCTTACAAAATAGCTATTGTGCAAAAATTAATTACATTTCACAGATGAAAAAGAAGACTAGATTTCCATACCCGTGGATTCTATTGAGTTGTCTTCAGCGAGAGCTAGAGCAGCTACGAGATGCAGGAGGAGGAACTGTCTGAGCGCCTGCATTTTGATGGCAGCTGGGGAGGTTAGGCTTTTCTAACTTTTATACCTCCCGCTATTTCATAATCGTCTTGTATTACATCGTATCACGAAGGGAAGGCTTAATCTCTCACTTATTGTTTCTTTTTAACAGATATAAATGAGAAAGTAACAGGTGTGCCCATTTTTTTAATATGTACTGCATGGAGAAAGTTTAACTGTGCTTTTGTCAGCTCTCCTGGGTTCAAAGCACATTTTCCGTTTGATTTCGTTGAGGGTCTGTTCGGGTGTGTTGACATGAGCAGGAACGTTCTGGAAGGGACTGACAGACTCCCTTGGGAGACACGTTCAGCAGTTTGCTCTTAGCACTGGTCAGCATGATCTTTGGTTTTTCCCACCTTCATTTTGACACCTACCCCTTCAGGTTATACTGGGCAAATCCTTCCCTGTTCTTGCTGAGGATTCCTCAGGTTGTAAAGCGCGACTACCACAGTGGAGTTGTCACGAGTAATAATTTCCTATTGCTGAAACATTCGTGGATGAACAAGGCCAGATTCACGTTAGTCACAGATTTAAAAGAAGATTGCACCGCAACCACTTTGCAGATAAAACTTTCTTAGTCCCACAGTAGAAGCTACAAAGAAAAAGGAATCAGCCTTTCCTTCCCGAGGTAAGGAGAGAAGCACAGTCCCAAGACCCTCAATTCCTTCTAGCATGAGTCGAATGAGTATCTGTTCCCATATATTTACGCTACTTTGTCTGTTTCCATAAGGACCAAAGCTCTTGAAATCCAGAGTATTTCCTCCTGCAGCGGCGGATACCCAATCTTTAAAGCTTCTAGAGGCTGTGATAGTGCCAGTGCCACAGATGTGCTGTTACCCTGACCTTGCTGCGGCGCGGTACCTGCATGGTGTGTGAACAGCCAGGGCTCACACGAGGGCCTGGCTGTGTGGTTCTTTCCAATACAGAGAGCTGGTATCCCACAGCTGTGCAAACATGTGTGCTTTCAAGTTTACTAGAAAAGTCAAATTGCAATGCAGACCTTCTCGAAACACATCCAGGTACTTTCATAAAGACAATTTTTTTTGTACAAAATCATTTTTTTTCTTTTATAAACAAACTGCAGTATGATGCATCTGTAATGATCCTATATTTCTAATCTCAGACCTATGCCTTCTTTAAAAGAAATCTGATTTTTAGCTCACTTTAAGAATTTTGAATGCAACTCTCTCTTCATCGTGACAACATGCTTATACTGCCTTTAAACATGGAGGCATTGAATACATGTATAAAGATGTTGCATTGCATTTGAATTCCCTTTAGCTTCTGGAAATGTTACATTTGCATTTACTCTGTATAGCCTTTCATTTCTTAAGCCCACACACATACTTGCAAGGAATTTTCAAATGCTAACATCCATTTTGTATGCATTTAATGCGTGAACTTGTGTGTGGAGCCCTGCCAATCAATGCTGTGTCCATCAGAACCAAGAAAAAAAACGCCTATGGCAATGATAGCCTGGTGATTTACTCTGGTAGTTACAGGTTGGTAGTCAAACTGTTTGAATTACTTGTATAAGAATGATTAGGAAATTTTCTTGCGCTGGAGTTGATATTAAGGGACTGGACCCCTAAGTAGTGGCCCAGTGTTTCTGAAGGGCTGTGCCGGTGCTGGCTGGCAGCTACACCTGCAGGTCTCTAGGCAGCTGGGTTGCCGCTCCACGTACTCACAGCACAAATCTGAGTGTTCAAACTGTTTTCAAATCTTGTGTGTTAAGCCCATGCTCAGATAGTGTGATGTGTTCAGATGTCGGGTGATGCCAAAATATTAATGGCCCACTTTGAATTCCCTCTCCTACCTGAAAAGAAAATGTCCAACAAGTCTTCCTGGAAGTCCTTTAAGATGAGAATGACTGTAGGAAAGGTGTTTTAAAATAGCAGATCCTCAGAACGAATTAGTGTGTATTTTAGTACAAAGGAACAAGGATTCAGCTGTTGTAACGCTGTTACTTAAAGGCACTTTCTCTCACTGCCTGCAGCCGAGTGAAGTAGCAGGGAAAATGTGATTGATTTCAAGCACTTCAGATCATTACCTGTGAGAAGCAGAGCAGCAGGGTTACGAGCGTGATGGAGTTTTGTATGAACTAAGTATGATGAGGAACTACTCTGGCTCAGGACGGGCATTATGGTGCTGTAGGACGAGGACTGGGGCAGCGAGGCTGCTCAGCCATTGCCAGGCTTCACCACCGGGTAAGAGATTTGATCTGGAGCCCTCATGGGAGATCTGCATGATTTTGGCATTTGAGAGCTGGCTAAGTTATTCATGGAGAAGCTAAGGTTCAGAATGACTCCAATGCCTTTTTTTGACGGGCTGAAGCAGAAGGAGAAGTTGCTGAAAAAAGTGGATTTTTTTGTCTTGTGTGGCTCAGCCTCTAGACACTAAGCATCCTTATTCAATACAGAGCATCTCATTATGGGTTTGAGTAATCCGCACATACTTGCCATATGGAAACTGAGTATTCGCCTTAAAGGTGCTTTTCACAGGCCAAGTTCACCAGGTTATCAAAACTTAATCCATCTCTTTCCCTGAGATGACTGCTGCGTTCCTGTACAATTCTGCAGTCGACAAGATATTTTTCTCTATTATGAACTGAAAATTATTAATTTCCATTTTTTTTTTCACTAAGTCATTCCAAATAGGACAATTGAAATTATATTATTGAACAGATATTGTGAGAAAAAGGATGAAGCAAATGCTTTAATGAGGTATATTTAGATGTAAAATTTTTTATAGTTCTAATCTCCAGAAATAAAAACAGGCATATGGAAAGATTGTAGTAGTTTATAGGTATTGCAGGATTATATCTTAGTACATGTACAATATTTTTTCCAAATATTTTTGAGTTCCGATTTAAGATAATTGCTCAGACATTATTCATTACAAGGGATGCTTATCTTTTGATTTATGTCTCTTCTTGAGCTCAGAAAGCAACAGCTGTGA